ACGGAAACAGGCTCCAGGCTCTGAGCCATCAGCCCAGAGCCCGACGCGGGGCTCGAACTCGCGGACCGCGAGATCGTGACCTGGCTGAAGTCGGACGCTTAACCGACTGCGCCACCCAGGCGCCCCTCACACTCTGTCTCTCTTAAAAAAACAAATAATAAACATTAAAAAAAAAAAGGCCAGCTTTCTATGGGAAGAAAGGGACATTAATGAGACTGACCTTTCCCATCGTCCAAACATTTTCTGTTTATATGAAATACGATTCCATTTGTATGAATTATCCACAGCAGGCAAAGTCAAAAAGCAGATGAGTGGTTTTCCAGGGGCTTGGGCAGAGGGGAATGGGGAATGACTGCTTCATAAGTATGGAGTTTCCTTTTAGGGTGATGAGAATATTCTGGAACTAGATAGTGGTGATGGTTGCACAGCACTGTGAATGTACTAAATGTCACGAATGGTAACTCTTATGTGTATGTTACTATGGTAAAAAAAAAAAAAAAGGAATTGCTCATGGTAACCTCAATATATCCCCTCCTTCTGTGTCATGGGTTGAATTGTGTCCCCCAAAAAGATATGCTGATGTCCTCACCTTATTACCTGTGAATGTGGCCTTACCTGGAAATAGGGTCTTTTGCAGACGTAATCAACTGAAGATGAGCTCATTCATGTGGGCCCTCATCCACTATGACTGGTGTCCTTATAAAAAGATGTGCGGAGACACACGGGAGAAAGAATGCCACGTGACTAAAGAGGCAGAGACCACGGTGTTCCAGCTGGAAGCCGAGGAATGCCTGGGGCCACCGGAAACTGATCAGGGTAAGGAACCTCTCCTAGAAGCATGGGGGATGGGGGGCACTGGCATCACTTGGATTTCAGACTTCCAGGTTGCAGAGCTGGGAGAGAATGCATTTCTGCTGTCCTAAGCCTCCAGGTTTGCGATGCTGTTACAGCAACCCTAGGGAAGGAATACGCCATGGGACCCGGACCACCCCCTTTCAGTACTCACCCCCGTGTTGACCCCATGCCATCTCTCTCTCTCTCTCTCTCTCTCTGCTTCCCTTCTTTGGGGAAAGCAGCATCAACAGGGCATCCCCTGAGCATCTTTTCTCCCCCTCCCCCACCCCCAGCCGGGCTGGAAACCTCCCTCCGGGGGCTGTTCAAAGAAGCACACAGCCACAGATGCATCATTCCATTGCCTCAGTTTTAAATATTTATTTAAAATCCAGAAGGGAAAAAGGAGAAACGGAACCCGCTGGGGTTTTAACACACTGACATGTGGACAGACACAAACAAGGACAGCAGAAAATCCCAAGAACGAGACAGAGGCCAGGTGGAGACTGGCGGTGTGGGGAAACCGAGGGCTGAGATGAGGCCCAAGCTGCTACAAGAACGCACTTCCGTGGGGAGCGTCTGGGTTGGGGCGGGAGGGCGAGGCATATACAGGAAGTGTCTGGTGGGGAAGGTGGGCCAGAGTGAGGTATTAAATAATGAAAATCAAATCCAATTCCCAAAGAGACACGACTTTTAGAGAAAATAAAAAAGAAGACACAAACAGACGTTCACATAAAACTTCCCCTTCTATAAAAACAATTCCATACTTAAAATAACCTCAAAATCCAACCTGGGCTGACTGGTTGTCTGATAAAGGACAGCCCAGATTACGCTGACTATCCCCCAGTCACGCAGAACCCCGAGATTCCTGCAGTCAGTCTTTCTCCTCAGCCCACATTTACCCTTGGAGCTAATGACGCGTGATTTCTAGAGGACTTAATGACAATGGAAAAGCAAGAGTGATGGCCTCATCTTGGCAGGGACAAGCTCTGGGAGGGAGGATGTGGTGTGGTGAGATGGTTCCATGTTGATATGTCACCTCCAGGCCAGCGCTGACCCAAAGCCGCTCTTAAAACTGGTTTCTTCAAAGTCAAGGCTTCAACCCCTGACTCTCCAGCTTAGATCGCAACTTCCAAGATAAGCCTATCTTCCCTCCAGGACCGTGACCAGGCCGAGCCCAAATTCCTTCATGCTCAGGCCTCCCCCTGCCTTAGAAGGACAAACATTTCAAAATCCATAAATTAAAAAGGTGAATCTTTCTGCTTCTGTTTCTGGTAGGGTTTTTTTTTTTTTTTTTCCTTTTTTTTTTTTTTTTTTTTTCTTTCTTCGGCTTTTTTTTTTTTCTTTTTTCTTTTTTTTTCCTTTTTCCTTCCCCCTGCTTAGTCGATTACCTGATGAGCACAAGGGTGATACTCGGAACATGTTCAAATTCCCCAAACTTTGTCATTTGGAGGAGAGCACCACATGTGCATGACACCCCACATCAAAACGGTTCTTCAGAGTCTGTGGCAAAAAATGGTAGCACCTTCAGAATCTTAAATAGGCTTTTTTTTTTTTTCCTTAAAAAAAAAAAATCACATACACTATGAGACAGCGAGCACCAGCGATTTCACAGTGGGAGGTAGCTAGCGTGGGCACCTCCGGCCCCGAGGGTCGCGCTGCCCCCTCTCGGCCTCCACTGCTTCCCACCCTCTGGCTGCTTCTTCCCTCACCTCTTTCCCAGGTGAAAAAAATAGTAATGCACCTTCTCTGTGTTTGTTTAAATAAAATATATATACTTCTTCCTTTCCTTTTCTCCTTTTTTCATGTCTCCTCTCTAATATTGCACATCAAAGCTCCCTGGCAGGGACCAGCTGGCGAGATGCCCCCTCCCCTCAAGCTGGCTAGAACGTGGGGCTCTTTGGGCAGGAAGCTGGGGAGGGCAGAGCTGGGAGACAGGCCGCAGGGCTCAGGCGGGTTGCAGGTCCAGCTTGCTTTGGCTGGCTCTTTGGTCGGTCTTTGGGGCTGAGCTGGGATCAGTTGGTCCCAAGGATACACTGTTCCCTGCTACCCCCCAGCCACTTTTACTGGGCAGACGACAGCTGGGGCCCTACCCAGGAATCCTTGGGCAGGTGAGCTGTCTCTCCTGGGCCCACCTGCCCCTAAGGACCCTCCCTTTGCCTCCTCCTCCTCCTCCCTCCCCCTCAAGGCCTAGAGGAGCCAGGAGGTCAGAGGTCAGAGGAAGCACGCAGGTCCAACTTCGAGGCGGTACTGCTTCCCTGATGAGGCAGGAGGGAGGTTGTCCACGCTGACGATGGGCAGCTGCTGCGGGTCCTGGGTCCGGAAGGTGAAAAGCGTCTGATGCCAGCGGCCATCCTGGACCTGAGAGGAGAAGGGAAAGGGTACACATGTGACCCTCACAATCCCCACCATCTGTCACATGCACTTCTCATCTCTTCTCACCATCCTTAATGGATTCACGGTATTTCACTGTAGGGACCATCTGTATTTGCCCATTAAAAATTTTTTTTTATTTATTAAAAAAATTTTTAATATTTATTTTTAATTTTGAGAGAGAGAGAGAGAGAGAGAGAGAGAGAATGAGCAGGGGAGGGACAGAGAGAGGGGGAGACACAGAATCCGAAGGAGGGTCCAAGCTCTGAGCTGTCAGCACAGAGCCCGACATGGGGCTCGAACCCACAAACTGCGAGATCATGACCCGAGCTGAAGTCGGACGCTTCACCAACTGACCCACCCAGGTGCCCCTGCATTCGTCCATTTAGATTGCATCTATTATTTCTATTCTCATAAGGAATGTCATTGGAGCTCAACTTCTGGGCACGTTCTCGTTTCCCTAGAACAGATTCTAGAAGTAGATTGGCTGGATCAAAGGATACATATGTTTCTGAGGCTTTGGAAATATGTTGGATATACAATCAAACCTTGGATTGTGAGTAACTTGTTCTGCAAGTGTTCCATAAGAACGAGCAAACATTTCTAATACATTTTAACTTGATAAACGAGTGATGTCTTGCAATACAAGTAGTATGTGACACTAAATGTCACATGATCACAACTGAGCCAATGGTTCTCTCTTTCTCTCTCTCTCCCTCTCCCAGCGGGATCGTGGGTGATCATTTCCCATATTCGGATGCTGAGTCTTAGGCTGGGGTGTTTGGCAGAAATCAGTGATTTTTCAGAACGTTGAAGGGGGTGCCCACGACTGGCATTAGCGTATTTTTTGTCACTTCAAAGCACCTACAGACAGTCCTTTGCTCTTCCATACCAGTATAAGCTTAGGAATGCTTTGCTTCATTCTAGGCCAGGCTGCCTGCGGATATAGACCCTTCCCTCTGCTACCTTATTGCCAGTTACATTAAATACAGTACATGACAAGAGTTTATTAATACTGTCCTGTAGTCAACATCCGTGTGAGCGTGTACAATGGCCCCCATGCAGAAATACGTTGAAAAGAAAGCCAGTAAGAAGGAGACGATCACAGTGGAAGTTAAGAAGGAAATAAGTCATCGAGAAATACGAGCGAGGTATGTGAGTGGCCGAAACGGCAAGATTTTATAAGAAGTCTACATGTGCATCTCGTCTGCAGAGGAGGAGGAGAGAAAGGCAGAGGAATCCCTCACTTAAAATGAGCTTAGGGAGATGTGTAGAATGTGGGAAACAGTGAAGAATTTTGTAGAAAAGCGCCACCCGAATAAGGCTGTAGCAGCCCGAGCGATGCATCTGTTTAACAACAATACAACGTCACATTTCAGCGAAATCCTCAAAAGGAGGCAAAAGCAAGAATCATTGGATAGGTTCCTTGTTAAAGTTGCAGGAAAAGAGAAAGATTCCACTGAGCCAATAGACAGCAGTGATTCCGTTAGAGTGAAAGTCGTCCTACACAATAACCCTCCTCTCTCGTCTCCCTCACACCAGCCACCAAGTTTTTCAAAGGTAAGTGCAGGTTAATGTCTTTATTTTTCTTTATATTTTGTATTTTCTTTATTATTTTGTATTCTATTGCACTATTGTAATCATTTTTATATGAATATTTTTGGGTTGTGGAACGAATCATCTGAGTTTCCATGATGGGGAAATTCACTTTGATATACAAGTGCTTTGGATTACAAGCATGTTTCTGGAACGAATTATGCTCGCAAACCAAGGTTTTACTGTACAGGCAAACATCGTTTCATTGCACTGCGCTTTGCTGATCTTCACAGATGTGTGTTTTATAAATCAGAGGTTAGTGGCAACCCCCTGTGTCGAGCAACATGTGTCAGTGTCACTGTCTCGACAGCATTTGCTCACTTTGTATCTCTGGGTCACATTTTCATAATTCTCGCAACATTTCAAACTTTTTCATGACTATCGTATTTGTTTTGGTGATCTGTGAGCAGCGATTATGATGCACTGAAAGCTCAGATGACGGCTGGCATTTTTTAGCAGTGAAGTATTTTTTTTAATGTTTATTTTTTTGAGGGAGAGAAACAGAGTGTGAGGAGGAGAGGGGCAGAGAGAGGGAGACACAGAATCTGAAGCAGGCTCCAGGCTCCGAGCTGTCAGCACAGAGCCCCACATGTGGGGCTTGAACCCATGATCAGGTCAGATCATGTCCTGAGCCAAAGTCAGACACTTAACCGACTGAGCCATCCAGGCACCCCGATCAGTGAAGTATTTTTTAATGTTTATTTATTTTTGAGAGGGCGGGGAGGGGCAGAGAAAGAGGGAGACACAGAATCTGAAGGAGGCTCCAGGCTGTCAGCACAGAGCCCAATGTGCTCTGACGCTTAACTGAGCCACCCAGGTGCCCCTCAGTGAAGTATTTTTTAATTAAGGTATGTACATTGTTTTTTAAGACATGATGCTGTTAAATACTTAATAGGCTGCAGTATAATGTAAACATAACTTCTGTGTGTGCTGGGAAACCAAAAAAATTAATTAGACTTAATTTATTGCAATATTCACTTTATTGTAGTGAATAGAACTGAACCCACAATACCTCTGAGGTATTCCTGTATATATATCCAGCTGGGTCCCAAAAGCCTCTACCAATTTTTTCCCAAGTAGCTTTGTGCAAGAGTGTTGGTTTCCCCACGTCCTCCCTAACACTGTGTATTATTAGTTTTGTTTAATTTCGGGCAACTGGTTTTTCTGGACAACTTTCTGACAACCCACCCAGTTTTAGACATTTAAAAATAACCAAAAGTGTCAAGAGAACCAATTAGCCTGGTCAGGATGGGGGCAAAGAGAAGACCAGAAATACATTCTCCTACAAGCAGCCTTGCAAGTAAGTACAGCCATCTATAGCAGCCTGGGAAATTTCTATCAGCCAGATCTTCTCTCAGAAGTTTCCCAGAGATGATAGTGAATCAAAGGAATTTTTAAAAACTGTTGTAATAAAACTATTACGCAAAGGTAAAATGTTGTATGTATTTGCTCATTATGCTAATACAATATACTGTATTACACTAACATAC